TATTCCCGGTTATCAGTTTTGCGGGCCGGGAACTCGATTAGAGAAACGATTGGCTAGAGGTGATCGAGGTATCAATCCATTGGACGCGGCGTGTCGTGAACACGACATTGCTTACGCGCGAAGCAACGACCTCGACCAACGTCACATCGCTGATCGCATACTAGCTGCAAGAGCGCAAGAACGCATTACCGCGAGGGATTCGACTCTCGGTGAAAGAGCAGCCGCTACAACTGTTTGGGCGGCAATGAAGGCAAAGACAAAACTCGGCATGGGGATGAAAAAGCCATCGACGACAAAGAGGAGGAAGAAACGGATACTTCCAGTAGCGAAACGTGGTGGTATTTTACCACTTTTACCGTTGTTGGGAGTTGTCGGTTCATTAGCCGGCGGTGCGGCGGGAATCGCAAAGGCGGTAAACGATAGCAAGGCTGCGCAACGTCAGCTGGAAGAGATGCAGCGTCACAATCGCGCTATGGAAGGTCGCGGACTTTATCTCGCTCCGTACAAGCGTGGACAGGGATTCTCAACAAAGTCTAAGAGAAAAAAAAAACGTCGAAAAAACATTAAAAATGCCTACGGGTGCGACAACTAACGTGCAATTGGAACAATTTGCGAAACGTATACCTTTCTTTAGAGGTGTTTTCATGCGCAATAATTTACCGATAAGCGGCGTACGACGAAACGAGAGCGGTATCGTCAATTTGGATGACGTTGATGGTCCCGGTACTCATTGGGTAGCGTACGCAAAGAGGGACGATCGTGTCGTATATTTTGACAGTTTTGGAAATCTTCGACCGCCCAAGGAACTTGTACGATATTTCGGACGAGTGAAAATTGAATACAATTACACATCTTATCAAAGTTATAATCAGAGTATCTGTGGACAGTTGTGTTTAAAATTTCTTCAAACGATCAATTTAAAGCCTGACAATCCATCGTCATGACTCAGTATTCGTTCGACATGTCACTGACACTTACGTTGACTGGCAGAAGCAGCGTTCTCGCTGTAAGCTATTTCCCCGCTATAGATTTGACCGATGCCGATTACGAGCTCGGATTAACGGATTTTGAAACTTATCACACGATTCCGAACGTAAATTTTTCGAATAATAAATTTTATTTTGGCAACGACGACAAGGAAATTACAATTCCCGAAGGAGCGTACGAATTGCATGCCATAAATGATTATCTCAAACGCGCAATTTTGCGAGATGAACACCTTTCCAGAGATGGTGAAAACGATTATGATGAGGAATATCCAATAGTGCTCCGCGCCAATCACAGTACGCTAAAGAGTGAAATCAAATGCGCCTACAGAATAAACTTTACCAAACCCGACAATGTAGGATCCTTGCTTGGATTCTCGTCGAATCGTATATTGCAACCTCGCAAGTGGTATGAATCAGACGAACCTGTTAATATTATAAACATAAATATTATTCGTATAGAATGCAACGTGACTACTGGTGCGTACAGCAACGGCATGCGCGTACACACGATACATGAATTTTCACCGAGCGTACCGCCAGGATATAAGATATCGGAAACGCCGGCACAGATCATTTATCTGCCGATCGTTGTACGGAGCATTACGGATTTAACGATACGTATTGTGGATCAAAGAGGTCGATTGCTCGATTTTCGAGGAGAGGAAATTACCGTAAGATTGCATATACGGCGGCGACAAACATAGTATGCTTGTACTGAACGAAACGGAGCACGCGAGAGACAATACTTTTACGCGGGACAATACTATTGCAGTAAGGCGAGCAGTATCGGGTGACAATAATAAGATTGCCGTTAAAAAGAAGCTGAGCGCGTTGAATCGTGAATTTTTGAAATCATTGGGATTCATCGTACGAAAAGAATGATTGATGTTTTGAATATCGGAGGTGAGCCAGTCTTTGATGATCGCATCGTCAAGATTGAGACTCATACGTACAATCCGTACGCCAATACGACGCTTGGATACAGCGACGAGATACGAATACCTATACAACATCAGGATTTATACACGTTACCGTGCGAAAGCTTTCTTTACATCGAGGGAAGATTTAATGTGCGTAAAGCGAATGATGAAATGAAGGTTGTATTGGGAAACAATTGCGTCGCATTCATGTTTGATGAGCTTCGATACGAACTCGACGGAGTAGAGATTGATCGCAACAGAAATGTTGGAATAACATCGACGCTCAAAAATTATGTCTCTCTAACACATCAGAAAAGTATAAACTTGAAGAATGCATCGTGGGATTTGACGTACAACGGTGACAAAAATTATTTCAACTTTTGCGTGCCGCTCAACATGTTGCTGGGATTTTGCGAAGATTATAAACGCGTTGTGATTAACGCTCGTCACGAATTGATTTTGATACGTTCGCGCAACGATAATAATTGTCTATTCGGACATCCGTCGTCGGAAGCTGAGATTGAATTACTCAAGATACAGTGGCGTATGCCTCATGTAATATTGAACGAGATTAATAAATTATCAATGTTGCGAATGTTGGAAAGCGGACGGTATTTGAACATGAGTTTCCGATCTTGGGATCTATACGAATTTCCTCTGTTACATAGCACGACCAAACATTCGTGGACCGTGAAAGCCGCCTCCCAGCTAGAGAAACCGCGATACGTGATCTTTGCACTACAAACTAGTAAAAAGAATTCGGTGTCACAAGATGTTACATTGTTCGATAACTGCAAATTGACCAACGTTAAACTCTATTTAAACTCGGAATTTTATCCCTACGATGATTTAAATTTAGATTTTGAAAAAAATAGATTCGCCGTCCTATTCAACATGTACTCTCGTTTTCGCAAATCGTATTACGGATGCGATAATAGCACCGCGCTATTAACCATTCCAAAATTTCTACATTGCGGTCCTCTAGCGGTCATTGATTGCTCGCGACAAAACGAGTCTGTCAAAACTGCTACCGTGGATGTGAGAATAGAGTTTGAGTGCAGGGAAAATATACCTGCGAATACTACCGCATATTGTCTCATCTTGCACGATCGGGTTGTCGAATATAATCCATTGACTAATGTAGTCCGCAAAATTACATAGGTCAGCAAATATCCCCTCCATTGCACATGAAGAAAAATATAAAAGATTGAGATGTTTGTTGATTGACATCAGTCTGCGATCGGATCTTATCATCATGGCTGCGCCAACGTTTGTGGATCTGCAAGGATTTATCGTTGGGAAAAATTTTGTCGTGAAGGAAGCTGCGGTTTTGAGAAATGGATCCGTACTTTCTCATTACATTTTTACATGCCCGGTACCATGGTACATGCTCACAAAATCTGAGAGATGCCAGGTTTTATGGCTGATTAAAAACCATCATGGATTATCGTGGAATGATGGACACGTTTCATATTGGAATTCGAAACGTTTAATCACGACGGCGGTGATGGGTGCAACGGAGGAGGATGATGTGTCACCTCTCGTGTACGTTAAAGGCCATGAAAAACGGCAATGGTTGGCCGATATACTGGACGATGATGCGAGAAACGATGTGATTATCGAAACTTTGGATGCAGACTACGAGGATGTAGCTTCTTTAAATAAGTTAGATGATAAGAATACTATGCGTTGTGAAAATCATGTAAAAAATTGCGCTTTACAAAATGTATTTAAAATTTATAATTGGTGGTTGAAACATCATGATTCTTCGAATCCATACTTATAATAAATTGATGATGTGATATATTTTTATCGTCTTTCTTATTCTCTCCTTTTTTTCCTCATCCCTATCTATGCGTGTGCGCAGTATCGTGTTTCCATACGTGACACAGCTGCCACAGATATTGTATTTCGATAGTACATTGTGATACATTGTAATACATTGTAATATTTGTTTGATAAGTGAATATAGTTTTGCGTTCAATTACCGTTCGTTTCCGTTTAATGGCCGCTCAATTACCGTTCATTTTCGTTCGATGACCGTTCAATTACCGTTCGACGGTCGTTCATTTCCGTTCGAAAAGCGTTCAATTACCGTTCATTTCCGTTCAAAGACCGTTTGACGAGCGTTCGATGAGCGTTCATTTCCGTTCAATGACCGTTCAATTACCGTTCGAAAAGCGTTCAATTACCGTTCATTTCCGTTCAAAGACCGTTTGACGAGCGTTCGATGAGCGTTCATTTCCGTTCGATGATCGTTCAATTACCGTTCGAAAAGCGTTCAATTACCGTTCGTTTCCGTTCGAAGAGCGTTCATTTCCGTTCGAAAAGCGTTCATTTCCGTTCGAAAAGCGTTCAATTACCGTTCGAAAAGCGTTCAATTACCGTTCGTTTCCGTTCGAAGAGCGTTCAATTACCGTTCGTTTCCGTTCGAAGAGCGTTCATTTCCGTTCGATGACCGTTCAATTACCGTTCGTTTCCGTTCGAAGAGCGTTCAACGTTCAATTACCGTTCGATGACCGTTCAATTACCGTTCATTTCCGTTCGAAGAGCGTTCATTTCCGTTCGATAAGCGTTCAATTACCGTTCGTTTCCGTTCAAAGAGCGTTCATTTCCGTTCGAAGAGCGTTCGAAGAGCGTTCAATTACCGTTCGACGGCCGTTCATTTCCGTTCGAAGAGCGTTCGAAGAGCGTTCAATTACCGTTCGACGGTCGTTCATTTCCGTTCGAAGAGCGTTCAATGACCGTTTGGCGAGCGTTCGATGAGCGTTCGAAAAGCGTTCAATTACCGATCATTTCCGTTCAAAGACCGTTCAATGACTGTTTGACGAGCGTTCGATGACCGTTTGGCGAGCGTTTGATGAGCGTTCAATTCCGTTCGAAAAGCGTTCAATTACCGTTCGTTTCCGTTCAAAGACCGTTCAATGACCGTTTGATAGCCATTCGATGGACGTTCGTTTCCGTTCAATTACCATTTGATCGGGGTTGACACATTATATCGTGTTAATTTGCATGGGAACATGCATACTTTTGTCTTACGACGCGTTTTTGGTAAAGAGATAATGATACGTCCACCGTTTTATCTGTTCGCAAAGTCGTGATATTATATTATATTATATTATACCGCGCTGAGTTGCGTGGGATCGGGTGTACTTTTGTCTTACGACGCATTTTTGACATGGTGATAATGCAGCATCTCTACTATAAAACCTCGTGCCGAGACCTCGTTACCGCTTCATAAAGTTTCAGAGACTGTACGAGTAAAGTGTGAAAGTTAAAAAAAGTTAAAATGGAATATATCATGGAAAACTGTACCGGATGGAAGCAGGCCTTCTCTAACTTGCTCTGCGTTTTATTGGTGAAACTGGCCTTCCATTGGGAGGTAAGTATTGATTTTGCGAATAATTTATATAAAATTGTACATCTATTGTACATAATACTTATATTTTTTATTTTCTAGTCCCTATCTGAAGTCCGGATACCCGGCTTTATGAATATAGAGCACCGGCAATGGGTGCGGGCGGAGCGGCGGTGGAGGAGAAACGACCTCTCCTTCATGTGGGGCGACGCCCCGGAGAGTCCTCCAGATGAGGAGGACGTTTTCAACCTTCGGCGGCTCTTCGGGGAAGAGCCCTACATGGAGGAGGAGATTTGGGTGCCCAGGGAGATTCGGGCACCCAATGGTGTACAGAATGGGGAGCACAGATGTAAGTATTTTTATAAATATTGTAACTATAGTTTTATATTAACGCGCATCTTTTTTTCTGTTACAGGAGCGGCCCCCTCACCTGGCTCCCCTGGCCCCTCCACCCCCCCCACCCCCAAATTATTATTATTATAATTATATCATTATTTTATTATATTATTATTATATTATATTTTATATTAATCATAATTTTAAGTACATACACACACACACACACACACAATTGTATTAACACACACATTTTAATAAATTTTATATATTTTAATTGAGAAAAAAAAAATCTAATTATTTACGTGCCTCTCCTCGCGTCCCCATCCTTGCGTCTCTCTTGCGTTAGTTATAAGCATCGCGATATCGTTCTCTCTTGCACGCGTCATCTTCGCGCTATCGTTCTCTCTCGCGCACTAGTTGTAAGTCTCGCGATATCTCTTTCTCGCACGCGTCATCTTCGCGCTATCGTTCTCTCTCGCACGCGCTAATTTCAAGTCTCGCGATATTATCGTTCTCTCTCTTGTACATGTCATCTTGGCGCTATCGTTCTCTCTCTTTCATATATTCGTTGTTCACTTACCTTTGCGTCGTCCTTCTCCCACCTATACATCGTCCTTGTCCCACGTTAACGCCATCCTTGTCGCACTGTCCTCTTCACACTTTGCACTGTCCTTTTCCCACACGTAGCGCTGTCCTTCTCACACCACCGTCCATCTCTCACACCGCTGATTCCCCTTCACTGCGCGGACCCCCTCGTCCATCGGTCGCGCCGCGGTTCCCCCTTCACCGCGCGGACCCTCTCGTCCATCACTCGCGCCGCTTCACTGCGCGGACCCCCTCGTCCATCTCTCGCGCCGCGGATCCCCCTTCACCTCGCGGACCCCCTCGTCCATCGCTCGCGCCGCGGATCCCCCTTCACCTCACGGACCCCCTCGTCCATCGCTCGCGCCGCGGATCCCCCTTCCCCGCGGGTGACGTCACCCACCGCGCGCCGCGGTTCCTCCTTCCCCGCGCGTGACGTCATTCCCCCCGCACCGCGGTTCCCCTCGCGCCTCACCCCCCCTGAGAGGACCTGGGTTAGAACTCTCTTAGTATCACTACTTATAATAAATAAAATAAAATAAAATAAGGAACAAAGAAAAATTTCTAATACAAGATATATTATATTTACTTTCGAATAGTCAAAGAGAAAGAAAAAAAAAGAAAGAACAAAAAAAAATAAAAATAATATTAAGCATTCAAGATTTAACATACCTCCGTTTCCTATATTTAACGAGAAGCATCACATAAATATAACTCAAATAAATGCATTATTCATATTAATTAACAATTATTATTATTACTCTTATTACCAACTCTTTTCCCGATCTCTTTTTTCCGATATAACATATACATCTTACATTAATAAGAAGTTTTTCTAACCAATGAATCATTCATTATTCAAAAGCATAAGATGTAACATTTTAAATTCGGGGACCGAATTTCT